TGAGCCGACAAACAGCTGATCGGCTCAGTGCAGCAGCCATTTTAATTTAAATGACACGGCGATAATTTAAATCACCGCTTCATTTGGGTATGTCTAGTAAACTAGTCTACATGGCTCTGGCGACAGAGCCACGTAGTCTAGACATACCCTCAGAGAGCAGTGTGGTGGAGGGGGAATATGGGGATGTAGTGAGAGCATCTTTCTAATGGCCTTTTTGCTCATCACTAACCACCAACCATCCATAAGGCAATTGAAAAACTAAATCTCAGGTTCTTAGAGCTACATCTGCCCAAGGCAAATATCATCTGGTTCCTTTAGGCTGGGCTTCTGACCATACACTGCCCAGGAAGGTTGCTGGCTATTCTGACAGAGGGCCCCGTTCTGCTGGCAGACAGGTGCAGGATATGCACACGTGGGTATGGGCCCACCTCCCAGATTTGATCCTGTCCCTATGTCTCAGACGCAGCAGGGGTTAGAGAAGAAAGTCTGAAACAGCTGCCCTCTTTTCTGACAGGCTGGTCCCAGAAAGCAGGGATGGGCAACTGCTTGTCTGCCTCCAGGCACTTTTCAGGAGGATCTACTTTCTGCTTAATTCCTTTCCCCCATCCCAAAGCTCTTTGGCAAGAAGTGGCCTCTCCAGTTCAGGGGGAAAGGCATGGAGAGATGTGCAGGACACATTCATTGACTGCTGTTGCCTTTGCTGTGACCAGTCCCTCTGAGGACAGGAGAGCACCATTCACAACTCACTGTTCCTTTGAAATCAGTGGCTACTCAGGATTTTCTAGCGTTATCCCTGCTCTGTATATACAGCACTTTTCAGAAGCACTGAGGACCTGATCCAGCACCCATTAAAGTCATTAAAGACTCTCAGAGGCTTTGATGGCAGTTGAGTCAAGCCCTAAATTCACCCCTCCACATTCAGGTGGACAGAAAGTGTGTCCTATGTGAGTGGTTAGAGCCATGGGCAATTTCAGAGAGCAGCTCTGGCCAGCAAATTTTGGGGCCCACTGGAGTGATTGCAAAGGGGGTTTCTGAAAAGCACCACAGATAACATTGCACTAATCAAGGCATGAGATCAACACATGGGCCAGGAACTGGCTGTATCCAAAGTCCTAAGCACAAGGAGGTTAGAAAACGTAAGACGTAGCAACCCGAGAAATAAAGTTTCTGGTTAAAAATAACATCAAGGTTCCAGGGACAACTGGAAGGATGAGAACTTTCCCGACGGGGAGAAAAGCAGGAAGCAGAAAAGTGCAGAACCACTGGGTGAAATCGGTACCCCACTAAAGTCCATGGGAATTTTGCCCTTGATTTCAGTGAAGCCAGGAGTTTACTCCCTGAATTTTTTGCTCTTGGCCCTGTCTACTTTAAATGAATTATCCAAATGGAAATATGAAAGCAATCGAGACATACGTTGAGAAGGAAGGAAGGAAAGGAGGAAAAAAACAAGTGAGAGTTTTCACTATACAAGAGATAATTTAGGTCACGAGAAGAGAGAATCTCACTCAATGAGAGAGGGCAAGAGAGAGAAAGACTATAGGGGAAGGATATCCGGAACGACTGACCAAATACGTCAGAGGAGAGGCGATGGAGCACAGGGTCTGAGAAAGCAGACATGTTGAAGCCATGAAGAACAGCGTGATCCACAGTGTCAAAACAGCTGCCAGCTCCGCAAGGATGAGAACAGAAGCGAGACATTTGGATTTAGCTGCAAGTTATTACTAGCTCTCGTGAGGCTGCTGTAGGAGAATGCTGGAAGGATCAAGGAGAGACTGCTGGATCAGGGCATGTGAGAATAAGCAGAGCAGTTCTTAGGTTTGAGAAAGGAAGGGGAGGACATGAGACTGGTAATTGGTATAGTGAGTGTGACCCAGCGGAGGGCTAAGGCTAGAAGAAAGGACAGCTTTTTGAAAGACAGAGCAGGAAACAAGGGAAGACTTAATGAGGGTTGTGGCAGAAGGGAGAAGAGCTGGTGTATGGAGGAATTGTTAACTAGTGAAATCAATGTAGTTGCCTTCAATGGCACTCTGGTGAGTTACACAAGTCAGACACCTTTTGATATGAACAGGCCTCTAGGGGCCGGAAAGCAGAAAGAATCAGCAGAAGAAGGAAAAGCGGTGACGATAGTTGAGGAGGGTGCAAAAATAGGAAGAGGTGGGAGACTGAGAATGAGAAACTTCATGAGCAAAATACTGGGCAAAGTTTACATAAGGACATTGGAGAAGTTGAATAGACAGAGAGACAAAGGCAAGAATCAGGCAGAGGGACTATATATTAAGAGTAAACTTGCCAGGTCCACCAATTGACCAATTAATTGACCGTCTATGATTTGACCACAGTCAAATATTGTCAAATATTCCAGCAAGAATGCCCCAAACCAGCTGGCAGCTTGCCTTTCTGACTGCATCATCGTGCCTATGTTTGCTTTTTAGGACTTCTTCTCGTGTTTCACAGTTTTCTCACTTTGAAACAATTCAATTAAGGTACTTTTTGTTGTTGCTGTGCAATTAGGCATGAGTATCTAGGACTAAGCCCATTGGAGAACATAAACTCTTCCTTGTTTGTTACTCTGGTTGCTGTTCTAATACAGTAGCATTTTAAAACATTTGACCAGTATTGGTCCAATATTGTAAAATAAGGTTAATATCTGACCAATATTTTACAAGTTAATCAGCCAGTTATTTTTGTACCGATCAAATGCCCAACTAATGAGATACAATGGACTTGGTACAATCCCAACCTAGCTGCAAAGAGCACAGTGTGAGTTGGGGAAGAGGCAAATGCAAAGCATACAGGGAGAGGCCATGCTGGATTCTTTGCTGGATGTGGTCTCTTGCATGAAGATTGGTGTGCTGCATTCAAAGGGCAGTGTAGCTTGAAGGGGAAGCAAGGGGCAGCAGAAGGAAGAGCATAGGCCAACTTTTCTAAAGCAGCTAGTGAGGGTGGCAGTGCCCTACATAAGACACTTGAAAGGGGCCAATGTTCAGAGGGTTTCTTCCACCTTCTGAGAAACCAGCAACGCTGTGGTGTCTTGGATTGGGCACCCCAAATCACTGGTGTCTTCTGAATACTTTGGCCTCCCTCCAACTTAAGATGAGCAATGGAGAGAAGGGAAGAGGTCGTGGCAGAATAAAAGGAAAGGCTAAAGGATTCTGGGACATCTCACGTTTGTAAATTTGAGTCGGAGTCGGCAGGGATGGGGGGAGACTAAAATATCAACCATTGTGATACATAATATGTCCCTCCCTGGCTTCCCTCCACACTTCTGTTTGTCCGGGGGACGAGCTGAACTGCACTCTAACCCCGTTCTGGGGGGTTAAAACATGTTGGGAGGGCTGTTTGCAAAAACCAAAAATGCCATTTGCACTGTCTCAGTGCTAAACACAGGGCTTCAGTTTCCAGCATTGGCCACCAGGTGTTTTTACCAGCACTAATGTCACCCTGGGAGAATTCACTGCTGTGCAGAGGGCAGCACAAGGATTATGCACCCTTTCAGCCCCACGTAAAGCCAGCTTAGTTGCTGGGCCTCTGCCTGGGAAGGGAGGTGTTTCACCCTTTAAAAATAAGTACGTAGTTTTAACCTCAATTCAATCAATAATCTTTTAAATGTGGAAGGAATGGTGGTTACAGTCCCCATCTCTAGTCTAAAATAGCAACATTCAAAGATCACACATTCAAATGGTCTTCTTAGGAGGAAAATTACTCCGGGGAAATATTCATCATCACTAAGAACTTTGGTTTCAGTCTTTTCAAAGCTATTTGACTCACTCTTGTCTTTATCGTCTATTCTATCAGCTAAGTCCTTAGAGAGCAAAACGATCCTCTCTCACGCCACCAAGTTTGTGGTGGTGCCAGATTTAACTTCATAATGTCACAGCTACAATTGCCAATTAAAAGTGAATCAGTATTTATGCTATACACCACATTTGATTAGAGTGTTCCCTTTCCCTTTACAAACATTACTACAATTGATGGTCCAAATATTGAAACAGCGCATCTCCATTCCCATACATAATATATTTAATACGGCGTGTGCTTGCTGGTAGATCACATGATTTCTCTGTGTTCTGGGACACTGTGACACACAATACAGCTGAATTTACCTTGGTAATGTCAGAATTATTATCATAATATCACACTACATTTACGAGGGTGCACTTTTAGAATATTTATCGTAACAGACACTAGGTGCTTCTTCACAAGAATATATGCCACTCCTGGGTAAGGTTCATGGAGTGGCTAGAGGCAGCAAGAATCAGGACAGGAGACA